ATCTCTTCTCCATTCTGGTCTCAGAGCATATCTTTAGTCCAGAAGCAAAGAGGGGAGCAGGGAGGAAGACAGTTATTGGTCACCTCGACTTGCCAGGTGCTTTTAACACAGATGACTCGTGTACATGGCACAGAGTTCATTGGTATCTTTTAAATGTACTTTTAGGTTTCCATGGTCTCATTCTAAATTCTCCCATTTCATCCTCAAGGGGTATTGGCTCTAAAACTAAGAAACGGTTATTTATTAACTTAGAACAATATTTATTACAGAAAAGTAAACTTTGGTTTCTTTATTTATTCACTCTGGTTAATTGGAATCTACTAAAATTTACAGGCTCTCCATAAGTTCCATGCCCTTAACCAATAGAAACATGTACTGTTCTTACCTTTGCTCTTCTGGAGATATCAAACTAATTTTGTATGGTATTGAGCACTTTACGGCAAAACCTACAAACATTTTTTTAAGTTTTAATGTTTGTTCAGTGCTAATTGTTTACTATTCTTGACCTTTGAGAAAATCTTAATCTTCAGTAGAATTAATATATTTCTTACACACTTGACTCAGTCCTGTTTCTCCAGAATTTTCCTTGAAAGCCTCCCCTACTACCCAGAATTCTTTTTTTTCTTTTTAAAAAATTCTTTATTGTTGAAAATTACATGTTTCCTTTTCCCCCCATTGACCTCTCCCAGCCCGCTTCCGCACCCCAGCACAGGCCCTCACCCCCTACTGCCTGTGTCCATTGGTTACCCCGACTTCTTTTTTTTTTAAAATATATTTTATTGATTTTTTACAGAGAGGAAGGGAGAGAGATAGAGAGTCAGAAATATCGATGAGAGAGAGACATCGATCAGCTGCCTCTTGCACATCTCCTACTGGGGATGTGCCCGCAACCCAGGTACATGCCCTTGACCGGAATCGAACCTGGGACCTTTCAGTTCGCAGGTCGACGCTCTATCCACAGAGCCAAACCAGTTTCGGCTACCCTGACTTCTTAAAGGGCACTCTTGGTGCAGCAGGCCAGGCCTCATACCAACCCCCGGGGGACATGTCTCTTCAGGAAGCAGAGCAGGGAGGGGACTACCCAGGACTCGCTCACAGGGAAGAGAGAGGATGCTGCACCTGCTTAGAGATGGAGAGTCCTTTGGGGAAGATGTGATTCTTAGTAGCTGATATTAAAATTATGTAGAAGATCATTAAAAATCAAGAAAATATATCCAAAAAAATTATGTAGAAGAGCTACATGAAAGATTAAAACGAGAATGCAGGACTCCCCTAAGAGCAGAAAATAGAAAAAGCCGTCGAATGTATGCTCAGGACACGGAGAACGTAGCATGGCCCTGTGACCTGTCTCTCCAAGCTGCACAAGACCATCCGTTACATCAAGACATCAAAGACCAACTCCCTAATTTGCAGAGCCAAACTAGACGTCCTTCGGATAAAAAGTAAAGGAGGGAAGCTGGGGCAGTGGTCGGCAAACTGCAGCCCCTTGAGTGTGGCTCTTCCACAAAATACCATGTACGGGCATGCACATACAGTGCGATTGAAACTTCGTGGCCACACTCAAGGGGCCAAAGAGCCGCATGTGGCTCATGAGCCACAGTTTGCTGACCACTGAGCTAGGGCATTCAGAAAGCGGGAACCTGGATCACAAAAGGAAGGTGGGAAATAAAGCCACAGGCAGAGCAGACTCCTTCCAGGCGGTGACTGGGCACTAGAAGCCTCTCAGAGGCCTGGCACCTGAGCCTAATGGAGAGCAGGGAGCCCAGCCACTGTGGCTCAGTGGTTGAGCATCGACCTACGAACCAGGAGGTCACGGTTCGATTCCCAGTCGGGGCACATGCCCAGTTGTGGGCTCATCATTGATGTTTCTATCTCTCTTTCTCCCTTTCCCTTTCTCTCTGAAATCAATAAAAAGTATATTTTAAAAAAAAAAGCAGGGAAGGTTACAGGACCAGATGGTCTCCAGGCTCTTCCCCGATCAGTTCCTGCTCATTGGGGAGCTTGGAAGCCTGAGATCTCTGGCTGGGCAGGTCTTACCGCTCCTCTCTCTGGATATATTGATCTCTCTCGTTTCTTCTTTATCTCCGGGAGCTCACTGTACCTCTCAGGTACCCCTATCCACGCCCCTTTCCTGGTCATTGGTATCCCCATCTCCCCTGGGCCTCAGACTCCCCAGGAAACTGGACTCATTTCAGCGCTTTTTCTTGTAGCTTCTCCACCTGTGTATCTGGCTCCTCATCTGCTTCCGCCCCCTCTTGCTCTGCATTATCCCTTTCTCTTCCTGCCACAGACACCATAGCTACCATGTGCTCTCACTTGGGTTATGGTAACACACCCACCTGACCCCTGACTTGAAGAACGGCACTCCTGGCACCGTTGGTCACGGAGCGCCTACTCTTGTTGGTGGTCAAACCCCGTTTCCTGTTTGGCCTCCGTGGCCTTTCACTTACTGACCCTGCTCCCTGGCTACTTGGTTGCGCGCCCCTCCCAGCAGTTTCCTCAGGGGACTACACGCCGGACCCACAGTCCGTGCCCAGCCTCGCCAGTTCTCTGCCAGTTGCTTGGCTTTCCCCTCCCGTGCTAGTCCCCCAGCCCCACTTTCAGAGCTAGTGCGGGGGCCTGCCCTGACCGCCCCAGGCCCTCCCTGCTGCCAGCACTCACTCAGGGCCGCCAGGTGCCAAGTGCTGTCTGTTTTCATCTGACCACTCCTTTACCAAGCGCTTTCTCAGCGTTTATGTACTCGGGTTCCACTGTATTTTTTTCCTACTTGTATGTCACATATTATTTGTTGTTTGTTGTTTCCTAGTTTCACCTTTAAAAAGGGTAGGAGTTATTTGGGATATGCTTACTGCGTTAGTAGTAACGTTAGTAGTAACGTGCCAGGAGTTATTACGGTATTCAGACTGCCAAATGCGGCTCACGGGGCGGCCTGTCACTAACGCGGGCTCGGCTCCTTCTCGTAGGGACGAAGTCAACAAAGCCTATCGGAGGCTCGCGGTGCTGCTCCACCCGGACAAATGCGTGGCGCCCGGGAGTGAGGACGCCTTCAAAGCGGTGGTGAACGCCCGCACGGCCGTCCTGAAGAACATCAAGTAGGAAGGAGAGGAAAGGACGCGTGGGGCTCAGTACAAACAGGCTTTCCCTGGAGGTAAAACAGCCAACGTGGGCTTCCCTCCACAGAGCCTCCCTGCTCGTTTCCCGTGTGTGTTGTCAGCCCCGAATCAGTCATCCGGGCGCCTGCTGCCATGTCACAGGGGGCGGAGGGACCACATGCCTGCGGCGCTCATCGCACATTCCCAGGTTGAAAGCAGGTCCCCCGTAGGGCCCTTGCTCAGGAGGGTCCAAAGGGTCTGGAGGGAAGGATGGGAAGACCCTTTCACCTCTTTCTTTTTTATTAATTCATCATCAGAATTAAAACAGAAGCAGACAGTATCGAAACCCCTGGAAGTTTGGTGTGACCTCACAAGCAAGTTGCTCCTTTTAGGATGAGTCCTTAGGTGGTGGTGTAACCATCAATCTAAAATTAATGAGCTCTTAGAGCCCTTTGGAAGTTTGTGAAACGGAGTGATGTGATTCTGAATTAAGCAGCCCTTTTTTGACATTTAGTCTGTTCCCTTCTCTGACCACCAGGGGGAGAGACGAGCCAGTCCTGAGGGTAAAAGCGATGGCAGCCACACTTCTGGGTAAACTGGCTGCTGCTAGTCGGGCCCCTGGATCTGAGGTCTCTCCCTGGCTGTGGAAATGGGTGCTGGTTGCTGTGGGGAGCATCATCACCAGGAACGAGGAACCGGACCCAAGACAAGGGCTGAGGGCACACTGGATGGTGCACACATGGGCAGGGGCCCGGCAGCCTGGCTCAGGCACATTTGATGCCTCAGCGGAGCCCCCAGATGAGGTTTATGCCTTTTACTGTTTCTGTATTATTTGCTGCAGACAAACAATGGTGGGAAAGGCAGGGGTGCTGCCCAACAAGCCAGGTCTCCTCCTCAGTGTCAGGTCCTCTCCTCTGGCCTCCTTGTTCCATATACTATATCCGCCTCAGTTCTCCCTTCAGTCCCTGGCTTCCACCCACTGCCTCCCTGCAAGCCTGGGCCTGGGCCTGGATGACCAGAGGCAAGTGTGGGTCCTTTGGTGGGGCCGGTGGAGGGAGAGATCTTTAAGCCTGTGTGGAAGGAATCGCCATCATTTTGCTTGGGTCCCAAATTTCTGAATAGTGGTATTTTACACTACAGACTATAAAGATTTCCTTCACATAGAGAGATCCATTTCGCCGTCGTCTCCGGCTCAGCCTCCCAGGATGGGTGAAGGTCAGGCCTGGCCTTTCTCTCGGGTGTCTACCCCTCTCAGGGTGGCTCGTCGCCTGTCACTCTCATGAGGATGCTCATGTTTTTAGCTGTGACCACGCTGCATGATGGGGGCTTTAAGGTTCATAGGACACTACTTTCTGTGAATTTTACCAGCTGTCCCATACAGATTGCCGGTTGGCATGCCTACACCTCAGGAGAAAGGCACTTCCATTCATTCACGCCCACTGCGTCTGGGATTCTTGCCCTCCCAAAGCAGCTGCACTCGGTGGCTGCCCTCGGGCTCAGGGAGCTAGTCAGAAACCAGAGCATTGATTTCTAGTAGGTTCTCATCTCCGTGAGACCGAAATGTTCTTTGTTATGAAATGAGATCTGAGATCTGATTTCTGGTGGGGTTTTCCTCTGGCCGTTTAATGTTAAACGGTTCTCTGGACCTGATGTTGCTTAAGGCTTTCCTCATGCTTACAGTAATGAACATCGCTCTGTCCTGGCCGCAGAATTGAGGAGTCGTGTGAATGAGGGATCACACATGGCCGTGTCAGCCCAAGCTGACCTGACAGCTCGCTGAGTGTGTGGCCCTGTATGAAGAGCTGGGGCCAGCTTCCAGCACTGTCCTTATACCCCGGGTCAGTCACCTCATTCACCTACAGTGAGCGTGCGGCCGGGCAGTTACAGGGGAGTTTGTTCAGCTTCCATTCGTAACCCTATGTAGTGACTGACTGGTTGGAATTTAGCCTAATCCTATCCTCAGGTCCTGGGACTCAGTTCCCAGGACCTTCATTGGGAGTCAAGGCGGCCATGCACTGCTTCACTTACGGAAAAGAGAGGAAGCCAGGATTTTCTGACTTCCATAATTCTTGAGTAGAATATTAAAAGATAATGAAGCATGAACAGCAATGAGAAGTTTTTTTAGTACTAACTTCATACAAACTTACAGACCTCTGTGCATTAATTTAACTTCTTGGTGCAAATATGCCCTTTCTAGTTCAATCTTAAAATTATTCAGCCAGTTAGGATTTCAGAATATATCAGTGAGAGTAACAACTAGCAGAATAATTTTAATGGCTAAAAAAAATTTTAGAATCTTGTTTTTCAAAAAGGAATAAAAAGTTTGAACAGCTATTATTAAAGAAAAGCCATTCCTTCCACATCTGAGTCACCAAGAATTAACTTTTAAAACTTGTCAGAAAAAACCCTGGAGGCATTTCAAGCTAATCGTCCAACCTACCCAAGCACTTTAACATCCACCCGCCTTCTGTTCCACTGTCCTCTCCTGCCTCCATTTGAATCGATGTTCTCGCCTGTCAGCATTTCTGTTATTCCACGTGTCATTTTCTTCTTCACATTAATGTGCCCTTGGCATTGTCGTCAGTCTGTTAAGGGACTGTAGACGCGGGGTGTCGTGCTGCTGCCCCCCATAAACTGCTCCGATGCTGAAGCTCACACACTATTCTTTAAGGCTCACATTTACCTCAGGAAACTTAGGTTAGTATGTTCTCAGCATTGAATTCTCAACTGGTCAATATTTTTTATACCCATAACCTAGTACCTACTTCACTGTTAGTCCCATGAGCCATAGACGAGGCAGCTGACTTTCTGAAAGAAAGCCGAGTGAGTGCAGCACCGGAGTGAGGTCGCCGCCCCTCGCAGCACGGGGACAGCCTGGAGGGGCGAGGGGTCCCAGTGTCGGGTTGGAAGGGGTGGAGCTGGTGCACATTGTGTGTCACGGTGAGAGCGCCTTCTCCCAGGAACTTCGGTCGGCGCCAAGATGTCACTCCCTTCACTGCGTGCTGTCCAGCTCACGGGGTCTGCTGATGATGTGGTGAAACTTTTGAAAATGAGTTTAGCTGCAAAATATAGCTAACCACCTCCCATCGCAAGTTTTGCAAAGTGGAAAGAGGTTCAGACTTGGGATTGGGATTGAGCACAATTGTAAGATACACTTGATACCATCTGTACATTGGTTTTCCCATGAATCATCTCTAGAGAAGACAGCATTTAATCTGGGATGTGGGTGCATCAGCTTGTGTGGAACCAGCAGTGCAGGACCGCTGTGCAGTGAAGGCCGGGGGGGAAGACCTGTTGGAAATGGGACGGTTTGGGTTGGCTTCCTGCATCGGCTGCCCTGTGACTGTGAATGCAGAGTCTCCAAACAAACCTTTTGCTCTTACGAGGTAATTGACATATTTGCTTTCTGTTGAAATAACTGAAAATGTTAAATCCAGCAGTTGTTTATGTCTTGTATAGAGAGTGTCATATGTATTTAAGTTGTGTATTTTTATAAAGTAAAGCCAAATATCAAACACTGCTCTGTGGGCCGCACTGATTTGTTGAAACGTTGGTCTTTAACTAAAACACGTGCGTCCAGAAGCCAGTCCACTTCCTCACGCGCTGAGACCTCAGATAAGGCATCTGGCTTAGTTTCCAGTTGGTCAAATGGAAGAAACTTTTATTCATCAGTGCATCAGGCTGGTCTAACCTTACTAAGTTGTGATGAGAGTGTTTTGATCTCTTAGAGAAAGATAGTAATGTTATGTTTGCCTTTTTAATTCAGATAAAACTTACCTCATTTTAATAATGAAGATCTTAATAATTCAGTCAACTGCTCTCTGGGCAGCAAGAACCCTGAAGTAACAGACTGGTGCGAACCCAGACTCTGAAAGTGGGGAGCCTCGCAGGCCGACCCGCGGAAGGCGATCTGTCTGCGAAGGCTTCCTTCCCACAGGGGCTTTCGTTATCGTTTCGAAGGACATTCGCTCTCGTCTGGGACTGTCCGTCTCTCTTTAGGGAACTGCGCCACCTTCATAGCTCGCACGTCCTTAGGGGAGCTGCCAGGCCCTCCTGTGCCCCACCCTTCCCCCAGCCCACAGAGTTGTCCCTGAGACGGGAAATGTCATCCAAGCTCAACCATTGGCATCCCTCCCTGATCCTTCTAATGCAGTGGTTCTCAACCTTTTGGCCCTTTAAATATAGTTCCTCATGTTGTGACCCAACCATAAAATTATTTTCGTTGCTGCTTCATAACTGTAATGTTGCTACTGTTATGAATCGTCATGTAAATATCTGATATGCAGGATGGTCTTAGGCCACCCCTGTGAAAGGGTCGTTCGACCGCCAAAGGGGTCCCGACCCACAGGTTGAGAACCACTGGTCTAATGGGATCTATGAAAACACACTTCCTCTCAGGAGAGGAAGACAGACAGAGTCTGCTGGTGTTGGCACCTTGATTATAAGCTCATGGAAAAAACTTGAGAGAATGAAACAGACATTCAGAAAGAGACAGTCCTGACGGCTAAGACTTTCCTTCCAGCCCACGAGGCCTTCTGAGCTGGCGGTTCTTCCCTCCCATCAGCCACCCCAGAGCCTTCCAATAAAGCCCACCCCCTCCCGTTTCTGCTTTAGCTCATGGGCGTTCAAGATGCCCAGGACGCAGCAGGGACGAGAGCTGTGGACTGTAGACTGACAGGATATTTGACAGGTATAGTATAAAATTTCATATACTAACTATGTCCAAATACTCGTTGCTTCTTGACTGGCCTTTGGCTAGTTTTTAAACCAATAATAACCAGCTGTAAACTGAAAAGAACTATTAGTTTAATTCATTTTGTTTCAGGGTCATTTTAAAATGCCTCATTTTATCTAGCTTTTTACTTCCTGTGTGAGCCATTGCCTGTTGGGCACTTCTAATTTCTTCAGCTTCTAATCAGATTTCATTGTCAGAACAGTCATTTGCCATTTTTTTATTGACACCTCCTACATGTCCACCCTGTTCTAGGCACTTGGGCTGTAGCAGAGCACAGACCAAACAGAACCCCTGCCCTGTGGAGCTTATATTATAGTTCCATGAATATTTTATTTGTGGGGTTTTGAGGAAATGTTCTTTTTTCCTGTAGGTTTCTTTCTGAAGAGGCACAGTTTGCATTTTTTAGTATTCAAAATACGCAATTTTATAATTAATCCTGGTTGCTGCTACATACGGATCATGTAGGTTGTTAAAATGCTGTGTTAAACTTTTTGAGAACTTAACCGTTTTCATTATAAAAAGCTGTTTTTCACGTTGGCCTGGAGGGTGTAGTTCTAAACTTTAGACGTTTCTGTGAGAACAGGATGAATCCCCACGGGACG